ATGAAAATAACAGTTCGATAATAGTAATACAAACAGCATATAGAAATAACATTTACTTTACTACTGTCATATATAATGACCATGGCTACAAGAGTGGAAGCAGACCAGTGTTTAGAGAGGAACTTTTCGTTCTTCGATGCAGTAGCCGGTAACTGTAGCAACAACTGTCGATAAACTCTGCAACAGGCACTACCACAAACCAAAGAGGTTCTGCTTTTGCACGCGGCTTATGCCGATGACAACAACAAAGACAGATACACATTGAATGCTAACTGGAGTACGTTTTACGTATCCCATTTGCTGTTCTGCATTTTTATACGTTAGTTACATACAAGGCGAATGAAGGCTCGCTCGTGTTTTGTAGTGAAAATAATGTAATAATTAACACGGTTATCGTAGGAAAATTTATAAAATAGAAGAATGTGTAATACCGATACCGCTTTCACCTTATGCTCATTACATTGACCCCGATTTTATTTGAAACGCTTGTTAATTTCTAAAACCGCTGGTCTTGCTTTTAATTTCCAGTTATACTGGAAATATTTTTGAATAATTTTTTATTCGCGTACACCTAACTAGACCATATACAAGGGCAGTTGAATAAACAACGCAGAAAATCTTGAAATGCTATGGAACACGCAAAGACACCGTTTCCATTTTGCGACAAATTTATGCAAGAACCATGTTCACCGTTAAAATCAAAGGAGAGTTATCTAATGCGTTCTCTATTAACCGTGAAGTTAATCAAGGAGATATTCCTTCACGTTTTTATTCAACACTGTTCCCGAGTTCCTTCTAAATAGTTCTGCCCATGATGGAAACGAAGGTCTCATTCTAACTGGGCTAGACATCTTGTTGACCTGCAGTAAGCAAATGATATTGTCCTCGAGAATAGTATTGGGATCAGGCTCTCGCAAATGACGGCTTCCGCATGCAGCACAGCTACGATAGTCGATCTCTTCCTTAACACCCGTAAGTCAAACGTTACGAGGAACCTATCCAGCACAGCTGGCCTACAAATGGAACAGGAAAGTGAAGCACTACAGGTGATTTGCCAATTTAATTTAATTTTATGTCAGCTCCATAATCTCCTATTATGACGCTATCCAGGCAGAGTTAAATAGCAGGATCATCTTAACCTCTAGTGCTTTAACAAAGTTGTCGAACATCTGGGCTGATAAAGAAATGCTTTGTCCACGAAAATCCGCCCGTATCTGTGAGGTCAGTGTCGTTGCAAGGCACTGAAACAGTTGTTCTAACGAAGAGCCAAGTCGATGATTGAAGTGCGAGCAGCAGCGCTGGCTTCAACGCGCAATGACGGTTAAACGGAAGGACCATGTAAGAAATAATTATTCTCTTCCGGACATATGTCACATCAGTAGTAAATGTGAAAATGAAAAACGCGACTGGCGCTGCAAGACCAACCGGTTGAACATAAACTATTTACTCCAGTCCATTAATGAGAGCTGCCAGACAGCAGACGTTGTAGCATACAAGGAAAAACAAGGTAGATGTAAATCTGTTTTCGGAGGAAAATTTACTTCTGGAATGCAGTAACCGTGTTCTGTAGCAAAATGTTGAAAAGATGCAGACATAAGAAATATTCTGCTTATGAAAACGTCTAAAGGCGATGATTTCAACAGATACAATACAAGTTAGTGCAATTTATTCTTACCACACTTATGTACGCACAAATAAGTGAATCAAAGACTAAAGGGCAATTACCAACCTCTGGGCTGGCGACGATTCTTCTGTCCGCCGCTGCTACCGCTGAAGCGTACGTTCTGGCGTTCAGCCGCATTCCTACGTCCCCCGTTGTTACGTGGGACTCGGTGAGACCTGTTGCTGTGGATTCGATCATCTCTGAATGCCGGTAAACTAAATGACGATTCTGCCGCGACTTCTGCATTCGTTCCATCACCGCTGCTGCCATATCGTCTGCTTTGTGTGCTCTCTGCCGACTGCTGTAAGGCTGCCAAGTCGGAGGTGACCAGTGGTTCGACGGAGGGTACAGGCGACGTGGCACCTTTGATTATTGACTCGCAACTTTCATAAACCCGCAAAGGTCTGGGTACTCGTTGACTAGGAACGAAAAGATCTTCCTGAGGAAAGCGTCCATCGCCACAGCTGACCGTCGACTGGTTCCCTTCCGGGTGTTCTGAGGTTCTTGACGCTGAGGCCGACGCTGTCGTCACGTCGACGGCCTGCACGCCTGCGCTAACAGCAGGAATCTGAGACTGTTCGGCTAATCGAGAGAATAGGTTTGCCAACGCGTGCAGCTGCTCGGCCGAAACCGGTGTTTGGTCGGTAGCGCTGCCGGACGGAACGTTCGACCCAGGGACGGACATCAACGACGGTAGACGGGAATGCGACGAAGGCAGTGACACCGACGGCAAGAGTCTCGGGTGCGACCCAACGGCAGCCGACGGATTCAGGCCCATGCCTAACTGTTGGAAGCCAGGTGAAAACGGAAAGAGCGGTTGCGGCGGACAAAGTTGGTTCATATCCACTGGATGTGCCGAAGAAAGATAGTGCAGCGGCGGAGCGACTGACTGTTGCGGGTACGGAAGCATTTGCTCCATACCGGGTGCTGGTGGGGCGAACATCGCAGGCGGGGGCGGCGGTGGAGGTGGTGGTGGAGGAGGAGGCTTCGTCGCGTCGAATATTGGCATCATCGATGGATTGACCGGAAGAGCCGGAAGCAATGGCGGCGGGGGCACAATGTTCATAGGTGGTACGGCGTTCAAGGCAGCGAACGGAGAGGCTGAAGCATGATTCAGAAAACCGCCTCCGCTCACCCGCGCTTCTCGAGAATAATCAACCGAGCACGGAGTACCTGGCTGAGGTCGGATAACTGGATTCCCGGTTGCAGTTGTAGTGACGAAAGAAACGTTCGACTCGCCACACGGGCTTTTCGACGTGGTCACGGTCGGGTTGCTATTGTGCGAACTCTCGATCTCCATCTCATCAGCGACGAATGACCCGTCCTGAGAAGCAGTCGTATCTTTCTTTGCAGTGATCATACTCGTACTGGTCACCTGTTCCTCGCCTGTTGCCTTGTCCAGCTTCGAAGAAACCGTGACACCGGTTGTTGTTTCTTTTTTCTTTAGACTCTGCACCACGCTGCTCAGCAACGTGCTCAACGTGGCCACGAGAAGCGCCGGGTCGATACCTTGTAATGTCTTAAAAGCCTCGACGTTCAGACAACGCTTCAAGTGATTAGCATCTATATTGGTCAAAGCAGCAACTGCCTCCAACGTTTTCTGTGCCTTAGAGTCCTTCTGTGTTTCGGTAACGGAACCCCTCGACCGACTGCGTCGGCGACGGCGATGAGACCGACGTCGGCGAGACTCTTCGCGCTCTTCTCTGTTTGCTTCTTCTTCCAATGAACTTACAGCACCCGCAGACACACCGACGTCTGAAGTCTGAGATTCACTGTCCTCGTCGTAGAATGGGTCCGTCAGCGGGGGTGTGCTCTGCGGTGTTTTTGGGCCGTGTGCCTTCTCTGGAGGAGAACCCGGAGGCGTCTGCGGCCCTCTGCTAGTTACTTCACATCGCGTAGCCAGCTTGCTCATTATCTGACAGTTCGGCTCGATACGTCCCGTGTTCATCTTATGTTCCAAAAGAGCTTCCATCAAACCCTTACCAGCAATCGAATGGCTGCTGGCCTGCATCGAATGTCGCTCCAACGATTCTTTCGTCAATGACGTACACTGTTCAGGCAAAATACCAGCAGGAACTAAAGTTCGAGCATAATATTATATCAGTACCAATTACTATTAGTCAGTCTCTTAGACCATTAGTCATAAAATCAATATTAGTGATCTAATTATCTACCAAGTGCATATAAGTTTAAAACTTCAAACCAGGATAAAACTTTTTATTCAGATTAGTTCAACTAGATCAACTGTATGCTATCAACGTGTCTGGTATCACATTAGAAGATGACCACAAAAGCGCGATCACAGTAATATAATACTGTATCGAGGCTGAACCAGATTCAGAACATAACGATCTGAAAAGAGTGTTTTCTCCTGACCGAGTAATCACAATTGCGATCCTTTGGACAGACGGTGCAGATGCTAAAAAATTCGTAAAACCATATTGGAAGAGAAAAATGGGAAGAGTCAAAGCTATATATTTGATGGATAAAGGCAATGTCATTTCTTGAAATTCATTCTGATGAGCTCGCCTCGCTCGATCAGCGGAGGGCCAATATCGTTGAAAACTGTCTTGAAACGGCTACTAAATATGAAGTAACAGACAGACAAAAAGGAAGAAAGGTACGGATTTGTGAAAGAATGAAAAACAATCAATTTTATAAGTGTGGTGGATGGTCAACACTGTCTGCTTTTCACCGCTCGTGATTCACCATTCAAGTAAAAAAATGTCATGCAATTAGAATAAAGGCACATATAATGTTCATGTCGAATGAACGCTTTTGTAATCTCGTGAAAAAAGTGGAATCATCAAGGCACGTGTAAAGAGTCATAAGATTTTCGCAAAAAAAAGATGAGCTGCGGTACCTGAAACTACAATGGAACCTAGCAAAGCTCTACTTTACAGCCTCTATGCTAGAATTTACTCTAGAATTTCCATCTCTGCTCTACTGTATAATCTCTAGCATGACTCCATTTATGAGATTTTCCTTAATGTTTTGATTCCGCGAGTCTTAAGCCACGACATTAGAGTTCATTTTCTTTAGTTTCTATATTCGCAAAAAAAAGTTAGAAGCTGCATCATGAAACAGTGAAAAGGTGTACACTAACACAAACAAAAGTTACAAATAAGCATGTAACGCCAAATAAATGTTATAAATAAGCATGCAACAAATAAATGTGTCATGTAATAAGTATGTTAAGTATAAATAAGTATATGACGCCAAACTCTAAAACTTATACCTCTGTTTCGACTGTCCGTTGAACTCGATTCACTGGTGATACTTCTACACTTCGGTGATCGCTTTGGCAGAGCGCATGTGCTGCTGTGACTCTGAGAAGGCCAGCCGTAGTCAGAGTCGCCAGCATGTTTCGACCTCGCCGGCGAACCGCCGCCACCGCCATTACCACCGGATATTCTCAAAATGAAACAAACAGTAGCAGCGCAAATAAAGACTCCAAAAATGCCAAATTTTTTACAACTCAAAATATAACGAGGGTACCTAAAAACTGTAATCAAACTGGTAACAAAGTTGACGATGGATATCAATCTGATCTTAAAGTTCATCTCATCCTGAGAGATAGTGACAGGTTTCATAATGTGATTGGGCAAAAGTTATTTCTGGAGTAGATGGGATTGACTGTGATACCGAGTAATGAAGGCAAGGTGTATGATCCACCTACAAAAACCATTTTGAATGGTACTATTGGTGCTCGGATGACAGAAGTGTCACAGCATCCATTTGACAGAACTAACAGAATTTGACTTAAACTTAATATAATGCTGTGGTATAAGAACTCTGAAATGTCTTTAAAAGTAAATCTGTCGAGGGAAAAAACAATGGGAAAAAATTCAGTACATGAACCATCGACCATAGTGCTTATGTATTCCCTAAGATGGGTGAAAAGTTTTCAAAATGCTTACTAAACTCTGAACAATGAGTTAAGCAAAACAGACCGAAGACTAAGATGATATCTGTTGTATGATCAGATGATTATTTATAACACGTTCTATATCTGGCGTTTTATATACAAATTAATGCAAAATACTTGTTCGCACACTTGTACAATAGTAATAGCAACGTAAAGCAATCAAAAAGGGTTTCTCCACAGGAGGCCCCAAATTTGCTATTACATGCGCGAGGAGCGGTTATGGGAAACAATAGTAGCACGTTTCATCATAAACAGACGTAACCGTTTCGTGAAAGCTGGCTTGGTAAGATTATGCGTATGAATAATGAATCTAGTTTCCGGTATTGTTGCGAATGCACAAAATTAATACTTGCTCTGGAAAAATCAGTAATGACGAGCAAGGCAATTGACTACTCCAGTCACTACATTAACATACCGATTAAACAATATTATATAAATGCCAAAATACAACAGAATTGCGGCTAACATCGAAGTGGACGTAGGTATCTTTAAATTACTGAGACGTACCATATACTAGAAAACTAAG